CACACACACACACACACACACACACACACACACACACATATATATATATATATATATATATATATATATATATATATATATATATAAATTATTTTAAACATTATGTCTGGTTATTTTTAGCATAATCCCTTCATATTCACGAATATTTTTCCGAGTATTACAATCAAATATGGAATACACGGAAAATATTCGTGAATATGAAAGGATTATGCTAAAAATAAGCAGACATAATGTTTGTAATTTATTTAATCAGACATGCTTAAATAGAATTTCTGCCTAAATGCACGCACACACACAGACACACACACACACACACACACACTCACACACACAGACACACACACACACACACATATATATATATATATATATATATATATATATATATATATATATACAAATTAGGGCGCGCATCAATAAATTTGTAGTGTAATGAAGAAGATAACATTCAAATATTTAAATACGATCTCGTATCTTCTTGGTACAGCAAACGGATTGATTGATCTGACTCCAAATAGAAAAGCGTAGTAAATTATCTACTAACGAATTAGCTAAGCAGATGTTCTTTTGCTAAATAAATTTTACTCAGTTCCAATGAAAACGTTAAGTTAAAAACTTTGCACTAAAACACATTATGCCGACGGTAAGGTAAGGCAATTATTAGATAAACTAAAAGTGCAGTCGAAGAACACATCTTAATCTTTCATCTTTTGTTAATTCTTCCAGTGCACTTGGATTAAGATCATCATGAACAATTGCCTCTTCTAAAATCACAATCGACATAAGAAGATGCTGAAAACACTAATTATTTTAAGTAACTGCAGACATTATATGTCTAAATCTCTGAAATTAGGTATTATGATTAAATTGTATTATTTACATTATTTGGACTGCTATTCTCATCTTCATTGCCAAACTCACAACGTTTCAGGCGTTGTACGCTCCGGCCTTCTTCAGGATCTGTCTATATCTCTAGGATGAGATATTATGATTACTTGCATTATTTACATTATTTGGATTGTTATCCACATCTTAATTGCCATATTCACACCTTTTCGGTCGTTGTACGCTCTGGCCTTCTTCGGGTGATTGGAATTTCGAACCGAACTCTTTATGTCCTCAAGGACACATGGCCCAGTGGATAAAAACTTTGGTTAGATCCAGTGACTACCCCCAAATAGTAGTGAGTTCCATACCAGGCTACAGCAATGGTGAACCGAAAAAACTTGGAGAGTTGAGTTAAAGGGAAATATCTGAGACATCCACAAAAGGCATGGCACGTAGAACCAGAAAAAACTACCTCGGTGGACGAAATAAAGGGTTCGATTCGAAATTCCAATCACCTGAAGAATGCCAGAGCGTACAATGTCCGAAACGTTGTGAATATGGCAATGAAGATGTGGATAACAGCCCGAGTAATGTAAATAATGCAAGTAATATTAATATTATACATACATTTATACTTTTGAAATTTTTTGAGACAAAAATTAGCAGAGAAACACAACTCGAACAATATGACCCGAAAGTTTAAAAGAAATATAGTTTTAGAATATATGAAAACAGCTTTGAAAGAATATTAGACAAATATGGAAGTCATAATTATTCATTTGCTAAATCTGGATATTGTATGTCACAGAAAAAAAAATTCTTATTTCATGGCAATCTACAATAATCTACCTCGGTGGACAAAAATATGGGTTCGAATCGAAATTCCAATCACCTGAAGAAGGCCGGAGCGTATAATGTCCGAAACGTTGTGAACATGGCAATGAAGATGAGGATAAGAGTCCGAGTAATGTAAATAATGCAAGTAATCTGCAGACTTTTATCGTTCGAGCAACGATTTAAAAGTTGCAGGAAGCGAAATGATGAGGAGATTCGTTAAAAGAAACCATCTATGCATCTTTCGTTTTCTCGATTACTTTTCTCAACCTATCTAGTTTGCTTTAGAAAGTTATCAAATATAGAAGCCAATATTTTGCTCCTATTTTCTCCAATTCTCAGTGGGACTCCTGAGAATAATGAATTTCATTATTATATTGAAAAGAAAAGTCGAAATACATCCGAGAAATCGACAAAAATAAAAGCAAGAGCCTTTGTGTTTATCGCAGTTTTTTTTTTTCTTTTGATTTTTTTGTAACTTTGACGGATTCCGAATCTGGGTTGATTATCATCTCAGCCGGGTGCATTTCTCTGATATTTTTGGACTTTTTATGCTGACAAGGGAGAATATCACCGGCGTCGTTACACCGAAGGAGATATAAGAAAGTAGAAAAAAAAGGTCGTACCTCACCGCTCCCCAATCTCTTCCCTCTCTTTTTCCTTGTTTTTGTTTGCCTCTCAATTTCTCTCTTTCTCTCTCTCTCTCTCTCTCTCTCTCTCTCACACACACACACCTACATACATGTAGATACTTTTGCACACACTTGGGCGAGGGTAAAGAGACATCTGGTAAACATTACTTTGTCTCATACACATATGCGTACACGCACACACATATGTATGCGCGTGTACGTCTTCTTACGTACATTTAATTGTCAAAGAACAGATTCAGTTCTTTTTACTTCTGAGTAGACATTTTGAAAAAACTGAATTTGATATGACATTTACTTAGGTTTTCTATCACAAAAGTAAAAATTGAAATATTAAAAACAGGTCTAAATACATAATATATATTATCAACATGAAATATATTCTATTATTATTATTATTATTATTAATAATAATAAAAAATATTTCAGACAACATGATTATTGAAATCTATTGAGTTGCGTTCTAGCATTTTGAAAAGTTTGTCAGCCTCAGATTGTGCAGTGAAAATTCTTAACAACTCAAATGTAATCGAAAAAGATGTAAATGTGTAAAATACAAAATGCGCTCGAATATAAAAATGAATGTCGTGTCAATAGTGATTAGCAAATGGTCTCAAAAGTCTGTTCAAATGTTCGGGAATTTGGAAATTCCAATCACCTGAAGAGGCCGGAGCGTACAACGGCAGAAAAGTTGTGAATATGGCAGTTAAGAAGAGGATAACAGTGCAAATAATGTAAATAATGCAACAAATCATAATACTTTATCCTAGGGATATAGACAGATCCTGAAGAAGGCCGGAGCGTACAACGCCCGAAACGTTGCGAGTATGGCAATGTAGATGAGGATAACAGTTCGAATAATGTAAATAATGTAAGTAATCATAATACTACATATGATAGATCCATTCACCTGAAGAAGGCTGGAGCGTACGACGGCCGAAAAATTGTGAAGATGGCAATTAAGATGAGGATAACAGTCCAGATAATGTAAATAATGCAACTAATCATAATCCCTTATCCTAAAGCTATAGACATATTCTGAAGAAGGCCGGAGCGTACAACGCCCGAAACGTTGCGAGTATGACAATGAAGATGAGGATAGCAGTTCGAATAATGTAAATAATACAATTTAATCATAATACTTAATTTCAGAGATATAGACATATAATGTCTGCAGTTACTTAAAATAATTAGTGTTTTCAGCTTCTTCTTATGTTGATTGTGATTTTAGAGAAGGCAATTTTTCATGATGATCTTAATCCAATTGCACTGGATTTAGAAATTTAAATGATCCAAGACTACAACATTGTCGAAACGTACCAAAATACTGCGTCGAATGTTTGAAAACTGGAGTGACTTGCTTTTACCCGGTGAGGAAAATTTCATACAACCAAATGTTGCTGAAACGAAAAATGATCATTTTATTTTCGTATGTTCTCATACCCAAATCTTTTCTCTCTCCTCTAAAATTAGTTATTTTACTTCTCCACATATTTGAGATCTCAACTAGTTGTCTTTGAAACAGTGTCATATCCCAGTGTCAGCTCATTATTCCGCCATTGTGAATGGACATACGAAGTACATGTGCACTGGGTCAGGATTTATTAGAAAAATACGAAATAAAAGTAAATAATAACGGAATTATTTCTTTTGTTTTAATTAATTCTCAAAAGGGTGTATATTTCCGAGAAGATTGCAGATTCCAATATCCGTCATAGAATCCCATGGTTTCATCAAACGTTTTATATGTTCTCTTTTTTCCCCATGGCCTTCTTTTGTTGAACAGTAGTTAATGTCAATAGTGATTTATGATTTTCAGTTGATCTGCTTGTATTTTTGTGTATTCTTTACAAAGAGGCAAACAGGTCTTTGGAGTAGGTAGGCTTTCCTACCGCCCGGTCAACACTCCTCCCCCTTCTCTTGGACATGAGTAGAGGCTTACGCCTTGTTTCTTGTTTAGGAAGGGTTTCAGTACTCTCTCTCTCTCACTGGCCTCTGTATCTCCAGTTGCCTTGATCTATCCACAACTCTTCTCCTCATCCTTTCTTCTATCACTCCTATCTGATCTTGCTCCAAATTTTCTGTAACCCCTTGCGTCTTAGTGGCTTTCTGCCTTACTTGGGGTGAAAAGCTTAAAAAAAAAGATACATGCTTGTTTTTGACAAAAAAGAAATATATGTATTTTATAATTTCTCCCTTTATAATTCTGTGCATTTTTTCTTTACCAATTTTGTTGGGAGAAATTCCTTTGAACGGCTGGTTTATAATGTTAATCCATTCACAAATTGTTTTCTCTCTTTAAGAAGAATAAGAGAAATAAATAGAGGGGGAGAAGAGGAAAAGAATGGAAGGAGAAGGAAAGAAAGAAGGGGGAGATAGGGAGGGTTAGGATAAGAAGGGGAGGCGGTTGTGATCAGATATTCGAAATTCACAGTTTAGCGTTCGTTGATAGTGACCAAGCAATTATGACATCTTGGAATTAAATATGTTAAACAGAAGAACTAACAAGCGAGAAGCGAAATAAAACATCAAGTGCAATTTCTTTATATTTACCAAAATTCTTGGAAATAACTTGGCAAATGGGTTGGCATGAAAAATTCTAACGCGCACGCACAAACATGCGCATTAATAAGTTTTTGTGTATGAGATAGATAGATAGATAAACATGGGGTAGATTAATAGATAGTTTTAGATAGATATGAGATAGATAGATAGATAGATTACGACTGGGGTAGATAGATGGATAGGTCTATAGATAGAATAATGAAGTGACTGGGGATAGATAGATAGATAGATAGATAGATTAATGGATAGATAATAGAAGATTACGACTCAGGGGATATAGGATAGATGAATAATAGTGATGAATAGATGAATAGATAGATAGATAGATAGATAGATAGATAGATAGATAGATTACGACTGGGGTAGATAGATCGATAGGTCTATAGATAGATAATGAAGTGACTGGGATAGATAGATAGATAGATAGATGGATAGGTCTATAGATAGATATTACGACTGGGGTAGATAGACGATAGGGATAGATGATAATGAAGTGACTGGGATAGATAGATGATAGATAGATAGATAGATAGATAGAGATAGATAGATAGATAGATTACGACTGGGGGTAGATAGATGGATAGGTCTATAGATAGATAATGATCTGGGATAGGATAGATATAGATAGATAATAGATGATGATACTGGGATAGATAGATCGATAGGTCTATAGATAGATAGATGACTGGGATAGATAGATAGATAGATAGATAGATAGATAGATAGATAGATAGATAGATTACGACTGGGGTAGATAGATCGATAGGTCTATAGATAGATAATGAAGTGACTGGGATAGATAGATAGATAGATAGATAGATAGATAGATAGATAGATAGATAGATAGATAGATAGATAGATTACGACTGGGGTAGATAGATGGATAGGTCTATAGATAGATAATGAAGTGACTGGGATAGATAGATAGATAGATAGATAGATAGATAGATAGATAGATAGATAGATTACGACTGGGGTAGATAGATCGATAGGTCTATAGATAGATAATGAAGAGACTGGGATAGATAGATAGATAGATAGATAGATAGATAGATAGAAAGAACAAAATTTCTTTCTTTTCTCTTTTTTTTTTGTTAGTCCTTTTTCCTTCACCTTCGTCTTTTTATTTTTTCGTCCTTCACTCTTTCTTTACTTTCTAGTGTTGGTCTTCAATCTTTCAACTTTCATTCATTTTCATTCATCGTTTCGTTTTTCATTTCATTCCTTCATGCTTTGGGTCTTTAAAATTTTCATCACTTTTTGTCGTTTTGTAAGTTTTTATTTGATGTCTTTCATTAATCTTTCTTTTGCATTTTTTTCATTTTTCATTCGGCGCTTTATTTCCTTGAATTATTTCCTTCGTTCATTTTTGTTTCTTTTTCCTTCTGATCGACATTTCTTTCCTGTATCTTCATTCTCTCATTTCATCTTTTTCTTTTCACTTCATTGTTTTTTTGCGTTATTATTTTTCTTTCGTTTCTTGTATTTGTTTATCTTTCCTTCTTTCTTTCTTATAAATTTGTTTATTATTTTTCACCATTTTTTTGTCTTTCGCCACTTCTCTCTTTGCATTTTTCCTTTCCTCAGTATCTGTCTATATTTCTGAGATGAGGTATTACGTACACTATTTACATTATTCGAAGTATTGTCCTCATCTTTGTCGCGATATTTATTACAACGTTTCGGCCGTTGTACGCCCTGACATTCTTCAGTCGGATGGTCTATTCAATTCTGTCATGTCTGTGTACGTATGAACAAAGATTTTAGATTTTCTTCATCCACCAGTGAATTGGAAGATTAAAGTAATTTACTGCATTTGATCTAATTTTCATGTATAAATTATGGAGCAAATTAGTATAAAATAGAATCCAAAATAACCTCATATGGAGAATAGGCTTATATATATATATATATATATATATATATATATATATATATATATATATATATATATATATATATAGTGTATGTATGTATGTATGTATTCAGTTGTATAGATATGAGTGTGTGACACTGGGTTTTACGCTTTTTGCGATCATCAGAAAAAACATTTTCATGGGTATATATATATATATATATATATATATATATATATATATATATATATATATATATAAAATTTCTCCGATTTAACCAGTAGAGAAGACAATATTTATGAATAAAAATGACAATAGGAAAACTAGTAATTGCTGACGCGTTTCGTCCAATGTGGACTTTATCAAAGCAAAATACGAAAATGAAATTAATTGAACAAGGTAACTAATAAAAACAAAAACAGAATTTTCCTAGCGACTGGAAACGCTATTTTCCTAGCGATAGGGAAACGCTATTTTTATATTTTTAACTGAAAATAACGTAAAATAAATTGCCAAAACTGTTCCTTCCAATATATTGGAGAAACAAGTAGAAGTTTAAAAAAACGCATTTATGAGCACAAAAGAGACCTCACAAAAAACAACTTAGCTAATGCAATAGTCATACATAGAAATAAATTCAACCAAAATTTTAATTTTAAAAATGCTACACTCATAAAAAACGAAAATAACTCACTCAGAAGGAAAATTCTAGAGAGTGTCGCCATAGAAAATTACACAAATATTAATCTACGCCCAGGCTTTTTTCCCCATTTCACCTTTCTTAACAAAATTAATGCTCTTACAAACAAATATACACAACAGATTCATAAAATCAAAAGAAAATGGTTGAATACATCAACACAGATATAATGACAATATTCTCCACACGTGACAAATATTGACGTTATTTTCAGTTAAAAATATGAAAATAGCGTTTCTCTACATTCCAGTTGCTAGGTACATTTTGTTTTTTTGTTTTTATTAGTTACCTTGTTCAATTAATTTCATCTTCCTATTTTGCTTTGATAAAGTCCACATTGGACGAAACGCGTCAGCAATTTCTAGTTTTCCTATTGTCATTTTTATTCATATATATATATATATATATATATATATAATTAATCTCATGATCACGAAGACTTACAAGACCATGCTAATAATTATTTCGTTAGAATCAAAAATTCGATTCCAACTCTGCAGACCAAAAACATACAAATGAATGGATAAATATTTTACCAGGTTCAAAGGAAAATATGAAGAAAATAAATATTACCATTGTCTTGTAAGTCTTTATGTTCATGATAATAATTATTACTTGGTCTGTTTTTGAGATTGAACTCTCTCTGGATTTATATCCTCTTTGGAATTATCCATACGGACTACGAAATATTATCTTTGTGTCTATACATACATATATATATATATATATATATATATATATATATATATATATATATATGTGTGTGTGTGTGTGTGTGTGTATTATTCCCCACATGAGGTAATATTGGATTCTATTGTGTACTAATTATTTACTCTGTAATAATAATGTATTGACCTCTTTTGTGGATCATTTTTAATATTTTTTTATTACTAGGAGCCACTTGTATTATATACCAACGGTTTTTATACTATATATATATATATATATATATATATATATATATATATATATATATATATATATATATATGTATGTATGTATGCATGTATATATGTGAAGAAATATACTCTTAAGGTGTGCTATATTTATGGGATAAAGTGCTCAATATAGAGCGTGTGTAAATATAAAACTGAACACTGAAGTCAAAATTTAAAGCGACAGGCTGTTTCACGCTAGCCGAAATCGTGAGGACACGTTTATATGCAATGTCTTATATATATATATATATATATATATATATATATATATATATATATATATATATATATATGTATTTGTTTATTTAGGCAGAAATCCTTCTTTCATGCACATTTCATTGAATATGACAGACAAGGTGCTTTTATTTAGTTTTGTATACATTTTTTTATGCGATCTAATAATTTATTTTTCTTTTCAGATGATAAATTATATAAAAACTGTCCGAATGTTCTTTTTATCCAAGCGCTTTCGGCTATAAATTTACCCATTTTCAAGGATTAAATATCTTAACTGTTAAATATGAAATAGTTTGTTTAATGTATGTTTTATAAAATGTTTTCATTTTTCAAAACACGATCAAGATATTGTGATTATGTTCATAGTTAATATTATTAAGTGTTGGTTTTTTGTCTTTTATTAATAAGGCTTCCATTATTTTAAGCCATTTTGTGCATGTAGATGATGCAATTGTATTAGTGCTGTCAACAATATGTTACGAATAGGGTCCGATAGGTCCCTATGAATATTTAATCGAGATCTAATTGAGCTATTGTCAGAAAGGTGTACAGTGAGTCTGCGTGTCAAACATGTTGTAGTGTGGCCTATATAATTATTTACGAATTTTGATTGATCAGCAATACAATTGGCATTTAAATTTGTAAATAATATTTGCCCTATTTAATTTTTTTCTAAGAGGCGAATTATTATTTTTAACTATAAGGTTAGAGGTTTCAACATTTTTGTAATGAATAAATAATCTAACAATAGCAAGAAAATAATTTTTTTGCATTGGCAACTGGAGTTTTGCATTTTTTTAATAATGTTTTTAATTCTACTTTCGTCTTGTCTATATCTTTCGTTCATTTGATTTTTATAAATTACACCCATGAATATAAGGTCAAATGCAGATGAAGATAGAAAAGCAGTAAATTCGTTTAATCATGCCATTAAAAGGTGAATGAAGAAAATCTAAAATCTTTGTTCATACGTACATATCAGACTGTACTCTAAAAGGCAGTCTTTCGAAAACTTGTACAACTTTTCTTCGAGAAGCCACTTTTTGTCCTTTTGAAGTCTTGAGTGTAAAAGTTGGAAATGCAATTATTTTAAACTTTCATCTTTCAAAAATTATTTTCTTTCAAAGATGGAGAATACATCGGAATATCTTAGAAAAAAAAACAACATTATTTTATTTTATTTTTCATTCTATCAACACACCCATACACAAGACACACAAACGCAAGTACACTTGCACATTTATACTCTCGAAACACTAATATCCTTATATTACTGTTATATATACACCAACGGAGTACCCAAGTGAAATGACAAACCTATTTACATATGTATTGATTTTTACCCAGGATAAATATAGTGGATATACGATCTACCTACCATCAATTTTTTTACGTTAAAATTTTGCATAGAATATAATGGGAGGATATTTTGCTATGTCATGAGTGTTACATACACAATTATATAAAACGCAAGGAGTATCTGTTCACTCACACACATATGCGCACATACACACACACAAACACACACATATATTCATATATATATATGCATTTTAAATGATGCAGATTAATTAATATTGTAAAATAGTCATTCAAAGAATAAATCAATAAAGTTAATGTAATTAATGACGAACTCACTTCACTAACAGATTAAATAAGGCATTAACTCACTGACCACTCACTGAACGACAAGATACTTGTATCATTCAGTGATTGGTCAGTGAGTTAATGCCTTCTTAATCTGTTAGCGAAGTGAGTTAAAATTACATTAACTTTAACTTATATATATAAATATATATATATATATATATATATATATATATATATATATATATAATATGTCCCGGAAAGGGATATATTAGAACGAAGTAGCTAAATGATTTTGGCTATTATAACCAAGTAGAATACGGTAGCAGTAATCGACTGGTACGCGTCGTAGTCGCAGGTAAGAAGTGTAGATCAATGGCGTAGTCCAATGGGCGTATTATAGACTTAGTTCTCAGACTAAGGGCTCTTGACTCTCGTACCTACACGTCCGTCGGTATTTATGACGGACACCAGCCAATCATATTCCAGTGAGGGGGAAAACAGGTGTACGCATATTCCATTATATCAGTATATAAGGCAATGAGTATCCACGTTTTATATATATATATATATATATATATATATATATATATATATATATATACAGGTACGATGAGAACTGATAGAGTACACTTTGAAACCAAATTATTCGTTCACTCGTCAGTAATTTACAATCGCCCGAGTCAGCGAATACTCGTTGTCACATTCGTAATGCACGTTGGAGTAGAGACTTTGTAATCGCAGATACAACTATAATACACCTTTGAACAATACATATGACAGACGCCTTCGAATAACACTCACACTAATAGTACTTGCTCGATAATACTCGCTCGGAAAGTAACCTCCGAAAAGTGATCACTATAGAGA